CGCCTGCCGTGACCTTCCCCCGCGCCCTTGCGGCCCCGGGAGGCTCCGGCGGCGGCAGCAGGACCGTTCGGGTGCGGTTGGTGTCCTGTCCTGCCCGCAGGAATTTCGGTGGTGTTGGGGCTCAGGTGCTCCCAAACGGCCGTGTTAAAAAATGATCCGAAGGAAATGGTGCTGAGAGGAAAGGAAGAGGTTAATAAATCAGTTCGGGGTTACTGAACACCTTGATAATGTCTGTTAACATTTTGTCATAGGGAAAATATTCTTACCGAGTTACAGAGTTGTAGAGTTCAGGACACCTGATTAATCAGGTGTGGTGTGTTTAACTTGCATGTGCCACTGGGCAGTGCACGAAATAGTTTTTTTCTCCAGGAAGGATGTATGTAGGTCTGAGAAGAGCCATTTCATAGAATTGATAACTATCAACTTAAAATAAAGCGATGTATTGCATTCAGTGTGAATAGAAATTCTGTGAGCAGTGAAGGTGTGCAACTCTGTGTCTGATTCTGTCTCGACAGTCACCCCTGGGAAACGGTGACAACGGCTGCCATGAGGAAATACCCCAATCCCATGAACCCCAGCGTGGTTGGAGTGGATGTGCTGGACAGGCACGTGGATCCCAGTGGGAAGCTGCACAGCCACAGGCTGCTCAGCACGGAGTGGGGCATCCCCTCCATTGTGAAATCGGTGTGTATTGTCTGTGGATTGTGTCACACACAGCCAGGAAGAGTTGCCCCAGGGAGGGGAAGTTCCTGAGACAGCTCTTGTAATACATGTGTGTCATGTCGTAACTTTAATGATTTAAAAGTATAAGTGTTTCCATATCAGGAGAGCTCAACAGCAGTGACTTCCTGATAGACAAAAATTGCCTGGGTCTGGAGGTTGTCAAGATGTGGCACTTAGTGCCATGGTCTAGTAACCATGGTAGGGTTGGACTGGATGATCTTGGAGGTCTTTCCCAACCTGGTTGATTCTATGATTCTGTGATTAAGATTGCTTCCATTTGGAGAATGAGCTCTACCTCAAGTGAATGGTTTTATTTTAAGCTAAACCCTAATTCTGTTCTCTTGGCGTCTGTTCAATGCAATAACTATTATTTATGCATTTAAAATTGCAGCTGGTTAGCATAGTTAATCCCCTCTCTGTTTGCCTGTCCTCTAGCTCATTGGCACCTGCAGAACAAAGACCTATGTTCAGGAACACTCAGTTGTGGACCCGGTGAAAAAGACAATGGAACTTAAGTCCTGTAATGTAAGTAGCTGTGTTTCTGCAACTGAAACTGCTTAGAGTGTAAGAGCACCTTGTACATTTGGGACTAGATGATCTGTAAGGTCCATTCCAACCTCTAAAATTCTATAATTCTGTGATTTGAAAAGGAAAATCATCTTGAAAATGACTTGAAAATTGCATTAGAACAATGCAAGTTAAAGGTTTAAGTAATGTGGTTTTAGTTGACAGGTTATGTTATTCAGGAAGGAGCTACTAGGTTTTGGAACTGGTCAGGGCTGAAGCATCTGAACATACTGATGCGCAGCACAGGGGGAGTTTTGGAGGTGGGGGTGGTGTTCAGAACAATAGTTTTACAGCCACTTGGTGTACACTGTGACTGGTTCCTAATCATGTAACATTTTGCCCTCTGTATGACTCCATCTGTCAGATCCCACTGTGGAAATTTATTCCTAATCATGTAACATTTTGCTCTCTGTCTGACCTCATCTGTCAGATCCCACTGTGGAAATTTTCACATGAATGTGGCAGTATATATTGCTAAATGATCCAAAATGATCCAGACTAGATCAGCAAATGCTGAACTTTCTCTAAGACAGTAAAGTATAATGTATAAATGTAATAAAGTATCATTTCCTGTCCTAAGACAGGAGAAGTATAATGTTTGAATCTGCAGTTTTATTTGCTTCATCCCTTTAATATTTTTATCAAGGGTTAATCCTGTCTTGTGTCCTACAGATTTCATTCACAAACCTAGTGTCAGTAGATGAGAGGCTTGTCTACAAACCACACCCTCACGAGCCACACAAGTAAGTACTCTCTGCTCTGAGATTGCTCTCAAGTAGTACAAACTTTGCTTTGAAAATTTCTGTGGTTTCCCTCGAACAGAAGATGAGGTTTCCATCACCTCTGTTATGGTAATTTGTCTGAAGAAGGATTAAATGGCCTGTCATTTCCCCCAGTGACATTGTTTGTGCAGAGCACCCCTGGGGAACTCAGGGTCATGCTGTGATGGAGACCAGTTCAGCTTTTTGGGGGTGTCTTGTGTCCTGTCTGTCACTGAGTTTCTGTACATCTGCAGTTTGCAGCTCCTTGTTTCTGATCTCTTTGCCAGCCTGAGCTCAGAATCTGCACTAGGAAGCACATTTATCTGTCTTCAGTCTCTAATTTTGGAGCTTCGGGTTTTGGTGGGTGGGTGGTTGGGGTTTTTTTAAGGCAAGTTTGCAGTTTACTGAGTTTGTGCTGCTGGAAGTGGTGATAATTCTGAAGGATCATTGTAGGGATTCTAACAGGAGTTTTTTCTCTCGGTCAGAAATGTTAAATCCCTATTGTGGAAGGGGATATTTTAATACTGTTTTCCCAGTACACCATCACTCCAGAGCTGCTGTTTCCACTCTTAATGTCCTCCTGCTAAAGATGGGAATGGTTGAGTGCCACAAAGGGGCACTTGGTGGGCACTCTTGGGGTTTATTTTATGAGTAGAAGCATGAGGCAGTTAGGCCCTGTGAAAGTGGGTTGCGTTTACAGGACCAGAGGTTCTGTATTACACAACAGAGCTGATGAGGAAATGTAGTTGTTGGGGAGGAGTTTCTTCCAGAAGTTTTAAGCCACTCAGTAATTCAGTTTCCTGCTCTCTTTCAGAACCATCCTGACACAAGAAGCAATAATATCTGTAAAAGGTGTCAGTCTCAGCAGTTACCTAGAAGGGCTAATGGCAAACACAATTTCTTCCAATGCTAAAAAGGTAAGTGTGACACTTGTCTATAATGCGTGGTCACTGAGTGGGTGTCAGAGGGAATCAAAGTCTCTATTTTACTTTCTGGCTTTGTCAGCAATCTCAGGAAGGGGCTGCACAGTTCTGCTGCCTTTACTGTAGAGACTGAGTGCTCAGCCTGCTGGACTTCCTCTTCTTTTTCCTCTTGTGAATGGAGATAATAAATTATTATTGGCAAAGCTTTTTGAATCCTCACTGGACAAAACATCTCCGTTCACTTAACAGTCTGGCACTGTCATTCTTTTGCTGCCCTCCTGATGCCATCTCTTAGTTCTTGCTGTTGAAAGAGGATCTGCCTCCAGACAGATCCACAGTAGTTATGTGGAAGCAGTGAGATGGTGTTTTGTTAGAGAGTCTGTCCTCTGGGAATCCAGAGATATCTTGAGCTCAGCGTCAAGATAAAAGGTCTTTTGTGGAGCACAATGTGAGCACTGCTGACATAAGGTTTTTCTTTCATTAAATGTAAGGCAGAACATGTCCCTTCAGTACTCCAGTTACTGAAATAAAAACTCCCAGGGCCATGTATTTCTCTGCCTTTTCTTCCCTTTGCAGCTGTTGTGCCTTTACTCATTTTCAGTAAGGATTTAACCCTTTTGGCTAAGATCTGTACACTGACAACCTCCTCTCTAACTGCAGGGCCGTGAGGCACTGGAGTGGGTAATTAAAAGGCTAAATGCTGAAATTGAAGAGTTTGCAGCTTCAGCAAGAGGAACCATGAGGAACTCGATGGCAGCAGCAGCATTTGTAGAGAAATGATAGAACTTAGACCTGTAGTACTAACAAGGCTTAACAATGTGCAGCTTCTCTCCAGGCCTGAATACATGTATCCTTTGTTATTTAAAGGCATACCTGTGTATTAGGCACATTTCAAATTGAATATTGGAGAAAAGCTGAATTTACTAAGGCTCAAAGGCTAGTTAATATATTGGGTCAGCTGGACCGAATTTTGGTGACAGATGAAATAATTGTCAAGTATAGTTCCTGTATTTACATGAGCACTAACTTATAATGACTGCAGGTATGAAATGGCCTCATTAGTGATGAGGCTGTGTATGCTGGAGGAGAATGGCATGTTAAGCTAAGCTCTGTGGAACTTGTGTTTTTTTGTGTGACTTATGGACTACCTCTTTTGGGACCAAGCCCCAAATGCAGCAGAATGGTTGTTCCAGCATTGTTCTGTTCGTTGTTGTGTGACACAACTTGGTTTAACAGAAAGCTTATTACTTGATGCTTGAAATACAAAAGAATGTATAAAATATTTTTTGATAAGCTTTTTAACTTGCTTGACTGGTTGAATTAACATGGTACTCACAATTGGTTTTCAGTCAATATAGGTAGAGCAGCCCAAGTGGCTCTTACCTACCAAGACCTAAGTTCTGTTCCTAAATGCAGCAGTAATGAGCTGGGCATGCAGAGCTTCAAGTAAGATTTTTATCTTAAACTTCTGCAATAAGTATCTCCATTTCTAAACCCCATGAAATAAGGGGTACAATAAACATAGAGCCTTAACATCTTGCAAGCTGCTACAATAGTAGGTGTTCACTTCAAAAACTGAAAGAAAGACTAAAAGACCTTTGTGAAGTTGAATGAGGAGATACCTAAACATCAGAGGAATATTCAGGAATGCTAACAATATACTCATTAACTTGATCATGCTCCAAAAATCACCTGCTACATCAACTGGATATGATTGTGTTTCTTTTAATTTAATCACTGTTCTCAATGTTCCTTTACCTTTTGAACTAATTTGCTCACAAAACACCCTGGAGAATTCAGTGTTCTATGGTTGTGTTTGTGTCTTGGTACTTGCAGTAGGTTCTTGGTACTGTCACCAGTCATTTGCTGCAGGAACTGAAAGGTCAGAGCTGCCATCCTCACACAGTGTGCCAGTCTGCTGGTAGTCCTGGTGACCTCAGCAGGGACTCTGTGTCCTGTGAGGCTCCTCCAGTGTGACAAAGAATGGAAAGGCACAGTCCTGAATTAGCTGATGGTGGTGGTTTGGTGCCAGAGGCTTTTCCTGGAATTTTGATTCTAAGCTTACAAGTGATTTGATTCAAGACTGTCTCTGAGCCTTTATCATTGTAATGTCACCTGTCCCAGCGTATTTTATTTTGCAGGTCTTTTCTGTTCTATCTAATTGCCTATTGAGTAGTGTCTGCTGTAGAGAACCAGAGCCTATTTTAAGTGGCAAACACACAAGAACCCATTCTTCTATAAGATTTTTGTTGGGGGAAGAAAACAGGTATAGAGATATATAAGTTTTAAAAATTTAACTGAGTATTTTTCTAAAAAGAAATGGTTTGACTAAATGGAAGTCACTGAGGTTTGCCATGCTTTTACAGGAGATCATTACAACTGCACCAGCATTTCAGTTTTTAAAGGTGTATGTGAAACTTCTGCACAACTGTACCATGGTTTCTGATAACAATGCTTTGCTTCAAACTCATTTTATATGTTAGTTTAGCCATTAGCATCATCACTTCATATTTCAGAGTCAGTTTTTCCTTACCCAAGTCTTTCTGCACTAAGGACTACATAGTCTGAATTCACAGTTTGGCCTTGCACTGGAAAAACTTACTGGTTAATTCTTGCAGGCATTCAACAACTTCTTGGAAGATAACAATTTTCTTTCTCCTCTGTTATTTATGTGCCTGCACTCTCATTCTGTCAGGGTATGGCTTTCTGTATGGCTTTTTAAATAAACTTTTATTTGGATTCTGGCTACTTCCTGAAACTTTCTGGTCTGTTTGGGTATTAGAACTACTAACTGAGTAATCTAAAGTGAGGGGGGAGAAGGTGAAGAAATACTCTGGAGTGTAGTTTCTTTTATTGAAATGTATGTCCTAAAATGCACATTTGCAGCTGCTCTGGTCTCTTTTGCTTCTTAATAACTGCTTTTATGCAAATCTGACACATTAGCTAGTAACCAGATTTCACAGCTGGTTGGGGAAAAATATTTCCATCCTGTAGAAAGGTTTTAAACCTAATTGGATTGAGGCTTGTGCTCACATCCACTGGGATGTTATGAGGTGCTGTGGATGAAAGCACTGACACTGCAGTGAGAGTGACCTGGGACAGTGCAGAGACACTGTGGGTTGTGGTGGTTGGAAGGGATGGAGGATGTGGGTAAGAGAAAGGAGGTACAGCTGGAGAGACAACTGAAGGAGCAAAAAGGGGGAAAGGGATACAGGGAGCAGAAGGGACAGAGGTGAAGGAATGTGATGTGAGCAAATGAGATGTGAACTAATCAGTGGTGTGGTCTGATGGACCAGAGGATAGATCCCTCCCTACCAATGGGTGTCAGCACCTGTTCAGTCACACAGCAATTAACTAAATGTAAACCAGTTGTTCACTTTGGGGAAAAAAGCAGAGAAAACTTTCACCACCATTTCCTACAACATTGCTGATCTGTCTGTTGTGGTCTATACTTGCAATTAACTGTGAAGTCTGTCCTGTTTCCAGTAAATGTCACATACTTAAGCACCTGTTGTCTGGGAACTGCAGCTTCTCAGCCCCTGGCCCTGCCAGCTCCTTAGTTCAAGGGGAAGGTCAGCAGCCTGCTGAGCTCCACAGCTGTGGAAAAACTGAGGAGTGCTGATAAAGAGCTTGTGTGGAAGCACTGAGCCATTTTAGCATCCCTCCATCTCTCAGGGTGAAGGTTGCTCTCTCACTTGCACAGGACCTGTTAAACAATTTGACAGCTTTGCTGTACATGTTGCTGTAGAACTGAATTATTCTAAAGGTAAGGTCACACATCACAACTAAGCTGAACTAATTGCTTACCTTCATGAAAGGAAACTCCTGTGCCTCCCTGCCTTGTTCCTGGCTGTGCTGTCCTGCTGCCCTTGCACTGAACAGTGACCTTCACACCTTTTGTTGTGCCAAGTCAACTTTGTTCAGCCAAAAAAACCATGACCATGAGAAGTGACACAATCTTTATGCAGCCACAGCAAGGTGAGACACACTGAAAGAGAAGTGGAGGATCTCCTGATCTGAAGGAAGCTGTTGGGTGAGCTGAAATTATACTGTGCACTACAGTAATTTCATATTGCATCTACTAGAAAGAGTATTTGATGGTGTAAAGTGTTACATAACAGTAACATTAAGTTAAAATCTTCTTTCTCAGACATGTATATAACAAGTTCAGCACACAATAGCTTTTTGACACATTTCCTCCAGAAAGGTTGGACAGTCCTTTAATCAAAAAGCTTAAAAACAATGCACTAAAAAAAACAGTGTCAGCTAGGTAAGATGTACATTATCTGAATACATCAGCTAGAATATAATGAAATTAATAACACATGTAGTCAATATTTTCCTAAGCATGTACCAAATCCTTTTCACACCAAATTAAATGAAACCATTGCCCCTAGAGCTTGTTCAAGTCTGTGGACACCCTGGTAAGAAATCTGGTTTATAATATGTCAAGTAGCAACATTTGGGTGAGTTCTTGTGGACAGTTTTTTGGGGCACTATGCTGATATAATTTACCTGTGAGACAACTGCTTTGGTTTATCTAGATACAAACTTATTTCCATGGAGCAGCTGCAGTAACATCTAGTGAAATGGGAAGTAAAGAAGTGTTATCAGAACCCATAGTTGGAATTTGTTTCTATTTTAGCCATGTCACATTCCAAATGATCTAGCTGAAGTACTAGAAGCACATAACCTTCTTAGTCTGATGCTCTATACAGTTTTCTCTATTTAGAACTGCCAGTTCTGCAATCTTTGCGATTTCCCTGCTCTTCCTGTAAAGGAATCTCTAGAACCAAGGGGAGCAATACTGACAGGTGCTATCTCCCAGTCTGCAGTGAGGTGCAGTAAGAACTTGTATTTACCAGGAGCTAAGTCTCCCTTGTCTTTCAGAGCAGCATAAGCACCTATCAGACTCAGATTTCTGCCAACAGGCTCCAGCCACTGATGCTATCTAAGTGTTCTTAAAACCCTTACTCACTGTCCTCATCAGCTGTGCACAGACTGTTTTACCTTATCATGCTGTTTGGTCATAGCATTTAAAAAGTAACACAGCCAACACAAGTTACTAAACACATTAAGAGAGGAAGTAATGCACAAGATGCTCAGAGCTTGAGTGTACCTGAGCTCTGCTCTGCAGGTCCTGGGTCCCTCCACAGGCTAAGAACTTGGAGGACACTGCCCAATTATTTTGACTTTGAATCCAGGTGTCCAAGAGCTAAAAAATTAATGTCTTCCTCTGCTTCATCAACTAACCTTCCAAATCCTGTCCTGTGGTGGGAACAGCACAGAGCTGCATCTTTGTGTACAAGCTGATTTCAGGGTGTGTTTTCTGGCACTCTGTGCTGAATGCTGTGCTTAGACAGGAGATTTACCAGGAGCTGACCTGTATTGCCATCAGCATGGCATGATTTCCAGTGGCTGTGGAACAGATTAGGGTCATCAGCAGACAGAGCAGCAGAGCTTTACCAGCACAGCCCAGTATGGCTTACACAGGCAGAGACAGGAGATAAATCCACAACTATCCAAGGTAGGAAACGTTATTAATGACCTCTACATTTTCTAGAGTGGTGAGCATAATTCTATGTTTCCTGACAGTGTTATTTCCTAGGAAAAACTGCAATTACTTTGTCATTTTTTAAATTAGGACAGAAGGAACACAGTGAAGAGGTGATGGAATTTGTAGTCTGTTATATATTGACTTGGAATTGTACTGTAATTTGCCTTTTGTATAAATATTTGTTCTCCCCTGCAAAATGCACGTGAAGAACTTGAGATTAGAGATAAAGTCAGTCACAAAAGGATCTTAATTGTTAGATAACAGGGGATTTTTAAGGGGTTAATTACTTCTATGTTTCACTAAGAATACAGGGCAGCAAGCAAACTT